GTTTTGTCGAAAAATTAAGACCTTTCTCCATCTTGTGTAGTGATGCAAAATAGAGCAATAAAAAGTCTTTTGTAATGTTTTAATTAAACAGAAGCTGAGTTTGAGTAGTAAAAAAATCGATTTAAAAAAGGCCTAAAATTTGCGTTATTCCAAAAGGGTTAGTCCATGGTTATTGTTAAGTCTTTTTCCATCTTTTGTTTTAATGCAAATGGAACAAGAAAAACCGATTGCTGCAGTTTCAGAACAAAAAGAACCCTTTTTTGACTATGAAAAACATCGATTTTAAAAAGGCCCAAAATTTGCATTTATCCAATTAAAGGGTTAGACCATGGTTATTGTCCAAAAATTAAGAATTTTTTTAACTTTTCTTTTATTGCAAATTGGATCAATAGAAAGTGTTTGGTGAAGTTCTAGAAAGAATGGAAGTCTTTTTAGACTATAAAAACATCGATTAAAAAAACCCAAAATTTGCATCTTTCCAAAGGGAGCTTAGACCATGGTTTTTGTCAAAAAATTAAACCTTTTTCTATCTATTGTTTTAATGCAAAATGGATCAATAAAAAGAGTTCTGTAAAGTTCTAACACGAAAAGAGCCTTAATTTGACTTTAAAAAACATCGATATAAAACAGGCCCAACAGTTTGCACTTTTCCAAAGGGGTTAGACCAACGTTTTATTTAAAAAATTAGGCCTTTTTGCATCTATTGTTTTAATGCAAAATAGAGCAATAAAAAGTAAAAGTGTTTTGTAACGTTTTTAGTAAAAAGAAGCTGAATTCGAGTAGCATGCAAATCGATTTAAAAAAACCTAAACTTTGCATTTTTCTAAAGGGGTTAGTCCATGGTTTTTGTCAAAAAATTAAAACTTTTTCCATGTTTTGTTTTAACGCAAAATAGAGCAATGAAAAGAGTTGTTTAATGTTTTAAAACTAAAAGGAGCTGAATTTGAGAAGTAAAAAAAATTGATTTTAAAAAGGCCTAAAATTTGTATTTTGCCAAAGGGGTCAGACCAGGGTTTTTGTCAAAGAATTTAGACTTTTTCCAACTTTTCTTTTAATACGAAATGGATCAATAACAAGTGTTGTGTAATGCTTTAAAAGAAAAACAAGTTTAATTTAAGAAGTAAAAAATCTATTTTAAAAAAGCGTAAAATCTGCATTTTTCCAAAGGGGTTAGATTATCGTTTTTGTAAAAAAACTGAGACTTTTCCATCTCTTGTTTTAATGCAAAATGGGGCAATAAAAAGTGTTTTTTAATGTTTTAAAACGAAAAGAAGCTGAATTTGAGTAGTAAAAAAATCAATTTAAAAAAGGCCTAAGATTTGCCTTTTTCCAAAGGCTTAGTCAATGGTTTTAGTCAAAAAAATTAAACCTTTTTCCATCTATTGTTTAATGCAAAATGGATCAATAAAAAGAGTTCTGAAAAGTCCTAACACGAAAAGAGCCTTAATTTGACTTTAAAAAACATCGATATAAAACAGGCCCAAAAGTTTGCACTTTTCCAAATGGGTTAGACTATAGTTTTTGTCAAAAAATTGAGACTTTTTCCATCTTTTGTTTTAATGCAAAATAGAACAATAAAGAGAGTTGTCTAATTTTTTTATAAACAATTTTTTGCAATTTTTTTGTCATTTTTGTTTTAATGGAAATTGAATCAATAAAAAGTTTTTTGGTTAAGGTGGCTGAACACAGCTTTGGCAGTTTGTGAGCATATGTCATTTGCCAAATCATGGCAAGAGAAAGGTTGGAGGTTACAAGCTGAAACTTGGCAAGTAAAAAAAATATTGATGGAAGAGTTTGACTGACAAGTCAAATGTGACGTTTTTGTAGTTTCCATTGCAACAAGAACGATTGAATACAACCTTAAAATTTCCCTTTTGCTCAGTTTACACAAAATTCGTTCATTAGATTTTGCTATAAAGTTGCATACAGCTTACTATGATCCAGTTTTTAGGCTATTAAAACATCAATTTAAAAAAAAGGCCAAAAATTCGCATTTTTCCAAAGGAGTTAGTTTGGTTTTTGTATAAATATTGAGACTTTTTTCATCTTTTGCTTTAACGCAAAATGCATCAAGAAAAAGTGATTGGTGAAGTTCTAGAAAGAAAAGAAGAGTTTTTGAAATAAAAAAACTTTTATTTCAAAAAGCCCCAAAACGTGCATTTTTCCAAATAAAGGTTTTAGTTCATGGTTTTTGTCAAAAAAAATTGGGACTTTTTTACATTTTGTTTTAATGCAAAATGGATTAAGGAAAAGTTTCTGTGAAGTTCTAGAGTCAAAAGAAGCCTTTTAGACTATAAAAACATTGCTTTAAAAAAGCCCCCAAATTTGCATTTTTCCAATGAGATTTTTCCATATTTTTTTTTTGTAATGCAAAATGGATCAAGAAGAAGTGTTTGTTGAAGTTCTACAAAGAAAAGAAGCCTGTTAAGACGACGTAAAAACATCATATAACAAAACCCAAAATTTGCATGTGTCCAAGGGGGTTAGTCCATAAACCATGGACTAGCCCCTTGGGAAAAATGCAAGTTTGGGGGCTCTTTTAAATCAAGATTTTTATAGCCTAAGAAAGCTTCTTTTCTTTCTATAACTTCACCAAACACATTTCCTTGATCCATTTTGCATTAAAACAAAAAATGATAAAATTCGAGTTATCTACCGCCATTTCTTCTTGCTTGAATCAATGGACGATATAATAAGGACATTTTTGAATGTTATGTTGGTCGCTTTGCTGACCATTGTTTTATTTTAATATTTTTTAAATCAAATTTTCTACGTTTTTTTAAACTTTTTCGCGCTCCAAGTCTCAGGGTTAGTATATTTTTTAGAACTTGTTGTTTTTTGCTGTTAAGATTGAATTGCTTGCCGATGGGCGGTCGCTAACGTTTTTGCTTACTTGCAACAAAAAGCTTTGTTTAAGTTCACACAATTTAATTCCAGAACCGCAAAGTGGTGATCATTGTCTTATAGAAAAGCGAAATTTGATATTATGGAAAATTAGTACTAACCGTATAGCTGTCGTTTGACAATTCCAGTCAAGCGAATATGGTTCCTATCCTCCTCTGAAAAAATCCAAAAGAAAAATATTGCACTAACGTCCTTACTTCATGCACTTACTCTAATGAAAGCGATTCCACCCCCTCAACTCTACGAGCTATTAGCTATAAACTTTCGAAGACCTTTTAACACAGTCAAATAGGCCATTGTCATGTCTTTTTGTGGGTACCTTTCAATTTGCTGACATATTCTTTGCCAAAATACCAGCTATCAAACAGGAAAACTGCCAAAATACCTTAAGACGCCAGCTACTGGTAATATCTTTAATTTTATTCCATTGGTTTGAAGCAAACTTAGAAGAAGCCAGGTTAAACATTTTCTAAGTGTGCTTTAAAGTATATCGATCAGTACGATAATCAAAATAGCTAGATGTCTCGGTTCTTGTGACGATATTCGTAGTGATAAAACACTATTCTCACTCTTGTCGAAAAAAAAAAAAACAGAGTAACACTAGCTTGATTTTGATCCAATGAAAATTTAAGTTTAATGCAATCTCCGAGGCAATTTTAGCCTTTGAAATTTTTTTAAAAAATAATAACAATTTCTCCTGTTGTCTAATGAGCCATGCAACGTGGTGAGTGAAAGAAAGTAGTTAATTTGCTTGTCATAAAGTGGCTTACCATTGTGTTTCTTGTTCTGTGCTAAGCACAGCCTATTAACTTCGACCGCGAAAATGCGACAGAATAAAATCAGAAGACTCCTCATGTTGAATGTTCATTATATGGGTTCTATTGAAATGCTCCTGACTTCCGTGAGAATCATAACCTCGTTTCAAAGCCTTTAACCACCTGCTTAGCAAGTCGACATTTCATGAGGTAATATGGTTTTAAACACGTTTTAAGAGAGCAACATTAATTGCAGGCGGTTGTTAACTGTTGACTTTCTGAGAAAAATAGAGGTTCTATTCAAAATAGCACAAAATCAATTAAGGTCTACAGTGTATTCAATAGCTTCCAGGTATTAGACCTGCGGAGCAGGGTTTACAGTGGTAAAGGGGTGAGGGGCGGGGGTTGAGGGAATTAACCAACACCTATTAGGGTAAGGATACAGGGGGTCCGGGGGTATGCTCCCCTGGGAAAAAATCTGGTTGTCCTTAGGATGGCAACAAATGCATCTAAAACTATTTTACTTTATAGTAGCAATAAGATGGAGTGACCAAAAAGTCGTGTTGCATTAACTCTCCAACCGGATTTTCCGGAAATGTTTTGTAAATAGTAAACAACCCTGAATAAAATCCGACACCTTTTGAAATAGCTGTCTACGCTCGTGATTTTGGGCGGGAGGGGAGGGGAGGGGGCGCAATCTTTGTTTGGACAATCATGATTATTAACGATACAATAGAACATGTAACGCAACGAAATATATTTTTTTAAAAAGTTTAATTTTAAACAAGCTTTTTGGAAATCATAACAAGTTAATGGTTCTACCACTAGTTGTTTTATAGACTGACGTTCACTTAGGCTTCAGAACAATCATTTTAATTTGCTAACTAATTTCTGAGTACAATCACTCGTTTTTTTTTTTGCCTGCCATATCTGAAGGACCACGGTTTGTTGAGACCCAGAAATTTTGCTTCAATGGCAACGTGACGTAACGACTTCTCCTCTGTATTATTAGCAGGTAAGACAAAATCTCAGTAACAAAAAACACCCAGCACTGGGCATGTTCATCAGCCTTGCGGTCGTCTGGATATTGGGTCTTTTGTGTCTGTGTGCTGGTTTTAAAAGTTATCTGAAACAAGATTTAGACAAAATTATGGATTCATACGGTCTCGATCAGATTGCAAAATAAATGCCCTTTTACGGGTACGATTGTGTTTTGTTTCTTTCACAATCGCACACGAATTAAAGTCACTTCTTCTTTGAAACAATTTCAACTGAAAACAATGTGTGGAAAACTCATGGGTTAATGCAATACTCCCGCAGCTCCTACCATTACTCACCCAGCTATACACAGAAGCCCCATTTTTTGTCGAGTTCGAACACTTTATTAACCGAGCACCATCTTTTCACAGAATCTTGGGTGGTACAAGCCCAATAAACCGCACCCTTATAGATAAAAGGCAAATTGCAGCAGGCCCCTTCTGCATTCCCACCGACTGTACGCAGACCGTCTCTACAAACTGAAAGGAAACATTTGACAAAGATAAAGAACAAGTTAGCATTTCCCATATTTTGATAACCGTTTGAGCACGAAAAACAACAGAAAAGGTGGGTGTTCTTTACTCTAGCTACCTTTATCTGGCTAGAAACTAAATGTAAAAAGCGTGTTACTTTAATTTGTATTTTGTTTGCTTTCAGTTTTATCCGGGACTACCTGCAAAATTCTTCTCAGTAGAGCACGTTCTGGTTAATGGACGAATTAATCGAACTCGTTGCTCCTTGAAGCTTTCGGTAAAATGTTATTTTTTGCGAAAGCATGCTAAGATCACCGAGCCCTTTTTTAAATCTTGTGCCAGCCCAGGAAAAAATGATAGGAAAAAGTCAATAAAGGCAGGAGGTGAGTAAATTGGTTCCGGGCAATTTTTTTTAAAATTATAGAATTTTTGCCTCTAACCACATTTTAGCAACGCCGCCACCCATCCTCGAATATTATCGCCATCATATCTATCTACTATCTATCAGTCCCGTACAGGGGCATGTTGTTTTTACCTTCCCTTTTAATTTTACAGCATTGCGGTGGGCAGTTTAAGTGGCAACTAGAATAGCAGTCGCTGGGGCAAGGTGGAGTGTCTGCGCCCAGTAAACTGTTACGGCCAACTCCTCGTCGCGAGCTTGAGCAGCAGTGTGCCGGGCATGAGCTAATGCACGTACTGTAGCAAATCTGAGGACAGTATGAAGGTACTGGTGGAGGTGCAGGTACGTACGAAGCAGCAGGAGAAAGATTACAGCACCTCACGGGGCAGTCTGGTGCGCAGAGCTTGGCGCAGATTGATGGACATGACTGTTGTTGCTGATGAGCCTCAAAACTTTGCTGAAACTGAAAAATAACGTCGTTTCTAAGTCAATAAAACGCCTTGTTTTAAAATGCTTGTTTGTACCGTAAATTGCTTTGCAATAAGCAATTTTATCATAATTTTCTATTCACTGGTACCCGGGTATATTCGAACCTGGATATAGCTGGGTGCCAAGTTACAGGAAAGATTTTATTGTGGATCCTTTCCATAAATTTCACTGTAATTGGGGATAGATCGATCAGTCATATGATGAGTTTTTAAACACATTGTGGCGAATTTGAGCAATGTTCACACTATACAAGATAGCCTAGCCTTGGAGTAAGCTCTCCTATTTGGGCAAGCGAAATGAGCCTTTCGAGAACGCGCGAGCGAGGGGCCTTTCCCCTGTCCCTCGCGGCTTCGCCGCTCGCGCGTTTTCGCGATACTCCCTTCACTCGCCCAAATAAGAGAGCTTGCTCGCAGGCTACAGATAGCCTTTTTGTGCAGACACGAAAAGCTATACGGTATATAGTGTGAACACCTATCTGATATGTGACTCTCCCCTTTAGAGATGGGCGCGGCGCAGCTTCGCTCCTACGGAAAATCGCGTCTTAAGGTTATTACCTGTGCCGGTTGAGTTGTTACGGGAGGCATCTGCTGCTGAACACTTGTTTTCCCCTTTACACAGCAGTAATCAGGACACGTATCTACACACATCCCGTCGCAATCAGAAGAGCATGGTGCGTAGGCGAGCTTGGGCTGAGGAATTGACCCAGGGGCGTCACCTTTGGATAAATAAAGAACAAGAACGAATAACTATACCTTAGATTTTCCTAATTGCCAAAGATTCAGCCCGGTGAAAACGCGAGGCTGACGGGGCGGCAGCATAATACAGCCGATGCGCAAGGTATTGTAAAGGCGGAGAAAAATCTCGACTGATGTGAAAGATAATTAAGGTAACAAAGAGCTAATACAATAACCAATTAGAGCGTGAGATTTGGTGTATAACGTCATCATGTCATTAAGCGTTATAGTGGTAGAGTTATTTAGGCTTTCATCCCTACCGTCGTTGGTTTGTCCGGAAGTTCGTGGGCATTTTAGGTGAGTAAAAACACGGGTTTTATATGCTTGTATGCTTTTTGAATTGTATGCAGTTTAGTAGATTGTTATTTGAGTTTACATTCGAACCATCGCGTTCTATTAAAATCGAACTGTTAAAGGCCAGATCGCAAACTAATAGTACTGTCGTATACTGTATCTTCCTCCTTAGAAATTTGACACAAAGATGGGATGGCATGTTCTTCTTGGAAGGGTGTAATTATTATCCTTACAAAAATTTCAGGAAATCCCTGCAATATAATGCTTGTGTCAATGACGTAGCGTCGCTGCGTACAAACCTTTCACCTTAACTCACCCTAAAAGGATATGTAGTTAAGTACTGTTAGCATAACTGAGGTCGCGGCTACAAATGGTGAGACCACAATGAGTAGTATGGCCGGGATGTGTAACTAACCACAATGCGGACTTGCGAACTACACGTATCGACTGTTGTAATCAGAAAAGTATTGTGTAATCATCAATTAGAAAACAGTTTCCTTTTACCTCCACAATAGCCCCATTGTTTATCAACATCGTAGTCGTAAGTCGTAGCACACCAGGGCTTGGATTCATCCTGAGTGGTGCAAGTTGTGTACATTTTCCCACCATAGATAAAGGGAAAATGACAGCAGTTCCCATTTGAGTTGCCGCCGTAGCACAGATAGCAGGACGCACAAAACCCCCACTGTTTATCTACGTCATAATTAGCAGTGGTTGAGCACCAGCGATACCCTCGCCCTGCCCTTGTGCAGCGATGGTGCGGTGTTCCATTATAGATGAAGGGAAACATACAGCAAGCATCATGCGAAGTCCCACCATGGGTGGCCATACAACCTGATGTGATAACAAAATAACTATGTATATTTTTTAAATATTAAATGGTTTTCTCTTTAGTGTAACCATCTAATTGTTTATTTCAAGAGTTTTATTCCAATAAAGCAAATGTAAATGCTTTAGTGGACACCAAAAATTTGCCACCACGCCAGCACCACAGAAAATAATTTGTTTGTTTTGTTGTCACTGTTGTTATTCTTTTGCAAGCAACTTTATGATAAACCTTGTCCCAGTCATGTCAGGATGCACATCTAGCTCTGCAATTTCCACAACCAACATCATTCATAAATTAAGAATGATTTCTTAAAATACTGCTTTAAAATTTTAGACGTTTTCAGAAGATCAAAGAACCAGGATTTTTCCCCATACACCGAATTCAGCATATCGGTGATGATGAGCAACATCACTTTTGCTTACCTTGGATTGTAATCGCAACTGAAATAGAAAGCAAAGGAGAATGAGTTTACAGGTTTTAGGAAAGTTGTTGAGACGCCTAAAAAACGTCTAATTACTTTTAGTTCTAATTCCTAATATCTTCTTTATCCCGTCGCGAATTATTTTCTTTTTCGATATAGGAGAATAACGCCCAACGTTGACTGTATTAAAAATTCAATCGCCTGAGTTTAACAGATAAACAATTTTGTTAGTTAAAGGAGCGCTATTAAAGTGTGTCGAGTCATTTTGTATAGAATAAAATCAGCTTGGAATCGAAGGAAATCTTATTAGATAAAAGATTGTGAAATAGAAAAGCACGTACCGAACATCACGAATCAATAAAGACACTATGCTCTTTAAAACTAGCGAGCTCAATTTCTACAATTTTGGATCGAGCGTTTACGTTTAATTTATTTGCTTGGTTTTCAGCACATTTCAACTACTAGCCTGAGATTACTTTCTACATTTAAAGACCTCACCACTGGTTTCCCAGCGTCATTTTTGTGGGGGGACATCGTTTTGTTTCCCGAAATACACCCCGTTTAAGGACAGTGTCTAAACATTTTTTTCACCCACTGCCAGTTGGATGTCGTGGTGAGACTCACGGATAAAAAGAATCTTGTATGACCTTGGTTACAACGAGTTTTCCATAGCTCAGTGGGTAGAGGATGCTTAACCTGTTCCACCATGGTCGTGTTTCGACTACCGTCCATGGACGCTCAAGATTTTATAACTACAGAAAAGTCCTGGCTTAAATTTAACTTACCTGCAGCTGACAAAGCAGTTGAAATTGGCGGAAGGGTTGGTAAAGTAACAGGTAAAACTTGTGGCAGTGCAGTCGATGGTGGTCGACAAGGAGGTGGGGCCCGTGGTACAGGAGGCCCCCCCGGTGGAGAACATGGAGGGGATGGAGTGACTGGTGGAGGGGTAGCGACAGGAGGACACGTAGATGTGGATCCAGCAGAGCATGGCGGTGGAGGTGTTGTAACAGGCTCAATAGTAAGTGCAACGCATGGACCAGCTGTACTGGAACCTCCTTCTGGACCGCATGGTGCTGGCGGTGGCGTTGTTTTGGTGCTTGGAGGTTTTGTTGGGGGAGGCGGTGGTGGTGGTGGTCTCGTTGGTGGCAGTGCTGGAGGAGATGGCTCCGGTGTTGCTGGTGGCGGTGGAGGTGCATATACCGGTGTGGGTGCATGTCGAACTGGTGGTGGAGGAGCGTGTAAGTGGACATGTATATGAGGAAAGAGAGTTGGTGGAGGAGGTGGTGGTGCAGTGATACGTATGGTTGGTGGAGCTGGAGCTGGTGTGGTTGGCACAGGAGAAGTAATGGTTGGTCTCATTGTTGTTGTCTGTTTTGGAGTTGTTGGCTTGGTTGTTGATGGAGCTAGAATCAAACAAAAAACGTTTGATAGTATGATACTTTGCGGACGATACTTAAACTTGTTAAAAGTTTATCCGAATGATTAAGGGTTAGCACTTCAAAAATCAGCTTGTCCATCCTCCTACACACTTTAGCCACTATACTAATAGAATCAACTCAGTTGGTAAAACCACATTTTTGTATCTATGGAAATACTGTCATGTAAAAGATTTTGCGCATCATAGGTTGCTGCTTATTACAAAACGTCTTAAAGGAGACCTAACAGATAAGTTCCCTTAGTTAAGGCCCTTTTTGAAACAAATTAACTTTGTTGAACTTGGTTTGGAAGGCAGAAGTCTGACCATTCCACAGCCCGTGATCTTAACTCTTGGGTCTTTCTATCTACCTGCACTAGCTTGAGGAATTATGCATATAACACCTTTATTTCTCGTGCTTACTTGGTTTAGGCCTTGATGTCACTGTAATTTTTACTTGGTGGTCGCAGTGAATTCCCGGGATAGCGTACACAACTTTCTTGCCATCCAAAAGAATCTCACGCTTTCCGTAGGGATCCTTTGCCCAAAATTTGACAATCTGGTTAGCTGCTATTTTTGATCCCGGTGAGTCAAGTAACAGCTGCTGGCTTTCACTTATTTCATTCATTACCTTTGCGTAAATCAGATACCAGCTGTTAAAAAGGGTATCTATGGGCAAATCAATGCTTAATCCTCACATTTGATTGCAGTAAATTAAAAGCAGATATCATCTCATAAACCAATATAATTTGAACACTGTTTTTTTAGTATCCATGGAGTTTGTAAAACCTATATTACATGCAACACAGTGCTCAGTTCAATATTTCGCGTCATTTGCAATGCATTACCAACTTTGTGGTTCCGTAAACATGACCGGAAATTAATGTTGGAAGGAAATGTTTTGAAATAACTGCAGTTAGGTACTTTGTTGGTCAGAGCGTAGTGTTTCGTTTTCGTACCTCTGAAAGTAGGGGTCCATTTGAAACAGAGACCTTATCTCTCTTGTCTGGAAGACGGACCAGACCCACCACTTTTTTATTTCGGATGACGTAGTGAAGATGAATCTCAGGTCCTGTGACTAAGTAGCCTTCCGGCTTAAGACTGGAATAGAGCATAAAGGGTATACCGGCATCGTTCCAGAAATGAAAATTCAGGCAAGGACCTAAAGCGAGGAGTAAAAATGAAGGTATCATAACAAGAAGCATTCAGCATTAGGGGGCTTAGCTTTACCAACGCCAAAGACAATCTTGTTCCCAGGGTCCTTTCCTAATCGTTCCTTTTCTCTCGCTCCGGGGAAGAGGTGGTAAGAGAGGACCCTGGGAACAAGATGGAGATTTAGCATCGACGACGGGGACGGCAGAGTAAACGCCACTTTTGAAATGAATTCGCGTTTATTCCAATTCGCTGAAAATGTCAAATACAGTCCAATTTTCCTGGAGTCGATTTCTTGGGGACTCCGACAGAGGGGAAGATTTTAACTCTTGTAAAAAGTCTATAAAATTTACAATTTATAGACATCTTACTATCTCTGTAAAAGGTCCAGTTTTTCCAGTGTACTCTCAAGTTTGGAAAGTTGCCGTCGCCCAAAAAGCAATAGTTTTATTTAGCAAAACAATAACTTTGCACGTGCAGTATACCTTTTGTTCATTTCTTTGCCGTCACTGCACGACCATGAAGTGAAATTCCTCATGCGAATTTTTATGGAGGCCGTAAACAAACGGTGACGACATTATTCTTTTTCTTTCGTCCCTTGGGAGATTCACCTGCATTAAACGACTCGGAGTTGAAATAAACCCAACATATTTTTTAAAAATGCGAATTCATTCTAATAGTGATATTTTCGCTGCCGTCGCCCTTGTCGCTGCTAAAACTCCCTCAATGCGGGTAAACAGTAAAATTCATAAAATTTTAGATTGCATACCGAAGGGAGGTTGGGACACCTACCCCAACTCGAGTCATACGGGATAAAAGGGTTTGTTAAACACCGAAGGATATGGATGGTTCCAAACATTATAGGCTGGAGAAGGGTACAGATTTCAGGGGATTTCATACTAGTGTAGAATAGGGTCAGTGGTATGAAGATGAGTTTCTTCTCCTCAGCTCTCTGACACATGATAGGTTTTTTGGGGGGTTTGTAGTCCAGAAAAAGATTGCCAAATGCAACTGAACATGTTGAACATGGTCTGGTTGGTATAGGCTATGGATTCGCTCACCCCTTGCCTAAAATTTCTTCATTACCTCGCTGGGATCTAGCTTTCATCCCTTTGTCCATTTCAGTTCTTCCAAAATATAATGAAAAATGGGGATATGGTCAAAACAACAAGGGATTGTCTTAAGTGCCCGACGCCTGAATGATCGATACTTAAAACAGATGGAGGACAATTTTGTGGAAAACATGAAAAACGACGGGATTTTTTCACCTTCTTCTTTGGGTGGAGTGGTTGGTGTAGTAGCATTTGTAGAATGAGTGGTAGGTATGGTTTTATTTGTCCCTGGTGGAGGGGAGGTTGGTGTAGCACTTATTCCAGGCTTTTGATGTGGCGTTGGTGGCGGACGCGTTCCAAGGCAGTTCATAAGCGGATCCTCGTTTGCTGCTAAAGGCCTTAGGGCGAACGAGCATCGTCTAAGCCACGATTTAGAAGCCATGTTGTAGTCTGTGACAATCTTTACACGGTGATAGTCTGAGTCCTCACTTCTACAGATGTACCATCCTTTACGCATAAGACTGAACTGGAAAGCTCCTGGCAACGAAAACACTTGGAAAAAGGCTGCGGTGGCGTCATAGTCTGAAGGTCAGAAGAAAAGGGACTTTAATGATTACGACAAAGGCTTTTGATAGAATATTTGGTATTGGTTTTACTGCCTGTGTAAGAGGCAGATTACCTCTTTTGACAGTGCAGAACTGACACCCAAAAATGTCACTCGTAAAATTTCAGCTGAGTTCATATTATAAACTTCCCAGGAACTGGAAAAAGTTTTAAACAAATTCCCCTTTTACCTTTGAAAATGGAAACTAAACTAAAGTCTACCACAAACTTAATCATGAGCTCGTAAAAACTGAACGGAAATGAAAATCTTCTACTCCGAATATATATCAAATAAACTTACCAAATTTCGTATCTCCCTTCTTTCCTAAAACAAATTTGTAGTTCTTTTGTCGAACGAAATGACTAGGGGCACAGGCCGATTCAAATGATATAGTCGGGTGTTCGCCGGTTCCGTTGTCGAATCCAGGAATGTGGACCATAAAAGCCTGTTTAATATTAAATATAAGAAATAACCTAGGTTTCAAAGTAGAAAAGAAAATGAACACAAAATTAAGGTAAAGATACTGGTGTAATGTGCTGAGAGAGTGGAATGGTGAAGGGCAGTACGTGTTCCAGGCATTTCAGAAGTCCCAGCTTTCTAAACTAAATGATTTTTTACCCGAGGTCTCCAAGCGCAGAAAATATCAATTAAGATATGGAATATGAATTTGACAACAGGCTGCCAAAAAAGAATCACTGATAATGGTGTTTTCAACCTGAGGATACTATTCTTGGGGATCCATGGGAGTAGCACAGGGTGCACTGGTTTTTTTTAGTGTGAAGTGGAATGCATTGACGCCGATGATTTCATAGCCTTTTGTCTCTATCCTATGAACGATACAATTAAGAGGTCTAACTAATGCGTCCTACACTACTCAGGTGTGGTTTATTGGAAGTGAATAATAACGGGCAGAACACAATTATTGCAGCAAAGAATCCATGATGAACGGGAGAATATCAGGTACACTTGCAAGGCATTTGAATTCTTTCTCCACTTTTCCCTGGCCAAGCAGTGAATTCAAAAGTTCTGAATTTGGTCTGGGAAAAGAAAGTGCTCATAGGAAATTTTCAGTTTTGGACGATCATTTTATACATTTTGCGACAATTTTGCAAATATACAGTAGATATTGCCTTCTAGAATGGTACACCAAGAATGGGCATAGCTTTTTGAATTGGCTATCTTACCTGACAATGCTGAGTTAGTTCCAATCTGTCATTACTTATTCGCCAACAAAGATTGTACATAGGATTTTGAGCAGCGGGTACATCAAAGGCATGAATCACATACAGAGCACCATGTACAACTGCAAAATATACGCATGATAACTCTATTTATGAGCTTGCAGTTTTTAGTGTTATTTTGGTGCATCTTTTTTTCCCTCAAACCAATAGCCCATTTCCGAATTACCTCAATTACCTCTGTTTCAAAGCGAGGCTAGGCACAAAGTCATTAATTGAATGATATGAAAATGACTTTTTTACTTTCAAACAAATAAAACCTATTTTCACAAGAAAAGGTTAGCATTTAGACTCATTTTGAAAGTGAGAGTTTTTGGAACTTGAAATGGCCTGTTTTTATGCTCTAGGGTCAATTTAAATTTAACTAACATGATAAGAGAAAGAGACAACTACCAGTTCTACTAAGTGACAAGTTTATGAATCAAAAGTAATTTCGCAGTTAAAATAGGCATTTCATTGATGCTCGGGATGTCTCTCTAAAAACGTTATTACCAACAAAAGTTTATGATTTGCAATATTCATGACTATAAAAAAATGGTTTGCCATGGAAAAGTTGAAGTTAACGAAGAGCACGACACGCTAGCCTTTATAGTTTCGTTAATTTTAGTAAAAAGCTGTGAAATTGGCTGTTGCTCAAAGCAAAAAAGTTCAAACGTCAAAAGTTCTGCACGATCTAAAATGGTGATGAATAATGGTTGGCTACTTACTCACTTTCGCGAGACCTCTTGGGTCCACAAACTGTTTAGCTGTGGCAGCTTCGTGAGGGTTGTCAGTCTTAGGTGGAATATAGTATGGGACTGCTCTGTTGTACACAAACGCGCCATGATATATCCCTGGGTGACCCGGTAGCGGATGGCCTGGTGTCCCGCCGTATTGAACTCCTATTGTTGCATTGTATGTTGATTGCAGCTCAGTTTGACCCGTTACAATTTGACCTGTTTGACCTTGGGTCCCTGTCTGACCGACCGCTGCCCCACTCGTCAGTGTTGTTTCTGTTCTATTCACTCCGCTGGTACCAGCTTGAGTTGTAGTCTGCGGCGCTGCAACAGGTTCCACGGGTATGACACTTCCATTTGCTGTGTATATGTTAAACGACTGAAAGGATGGTGTGGTCAATTTAGTCGGATGAGTGTCGTTTGAGGTTTAAGAATTAAGAGTAAGGACCAAGGGGAGGTGATGAAAGCGATCGCCTCTCATGAATGTGACCAGGGTTCATGTCCCGGATAATTAACCTAGTGTGATGTTGAGCATTAATTACTATCTTCCCCTGATGTTTCTTTCGGGTACCTCGGTTTTTTCCTCTCCTTTTCAAATAACAATGCCTCCAAACCCCAAACATACTCGGAGTGCATACACCCATGCTGAGCAGGTTCTTAGAGCTAAAAGTATTTCCTTTGTAGAACAACTCTAAATATTGTTTTGTCAAACTAACTCAGTTACTGCCGAAATTGTTTAATTAATTCAGTGTTTGATCACACTAATAGTGTGATATTTTCGAATCTAAGTCATTACAGTAAATGATTCAACCAGAATAATCTAAAGTATTAGGCATTACACATAAGAATATTTCTAAAACTGAAAAAAAAATGGATTGAACACTGATTACAAGAAGTATAAACACTGTACCGGTTTATGTAATTTTCCTAGTGTCTCTAATGCTTCCTTAAGCGTCTTCGTCGCGACTTCTGTTGCTGCTTTTGTTGCTGCTGCTTCCGCTGCTTCGGCTGCAGCCCTCTGCCCAGCTACCGCTCCTGCCAAGGCCCCGGCTTCTGCCCCACTTATTTTGGCTTCAGACATCCCAAGGGATGCTCCCGCCTTAGCCCCCGCTTTGGCTGCTATCTTTAATAGAAGAGACTGGGGGGCTTTCTTGTTATCTTTAAGAAATACATATTAAAAGGAAAATTTACTTACCGGTAAACCCTTTTTATATTCGGTTCTAGTAAATTCTCGTTGCAAGTTTCTTTCAGGCAGCGTGGCGTCAAGAACAGCGCCTCTCAAGATTTGCACGGTTGCTAGAAACGTGACGAATCTCTGTTCGGATAACACTGTACATTACTCCTGGTACCCTTATCGGCCTACAATTTCTTTTTGGATCGCCGTATGGGATCCCGAACACTTGCTCTCGTTAATCAGGTCATTTGTTATTTCTCACTTACAATTTTAACACTAAACAGAGTCCCTAAAAACATAATATAAATGGCACGAAAAGCACAAGGAAATTCTTAGAGAATATAAAGTTATGAAAAATAACAGTTTTATTGATTCGAATAACTGCCATACCTTCCTTATGTGGCGCTTGTGTCCACAGGAACTGGGAGGGGATGGGTGCGTAAAATTTGTTATCCGGGGTCTTGACAGCCACCGTCAGAGAATCATTGCCGTATTGCTCCTTATGAAGCGCCTCGATGTAGTAGTATGAGCCATTCATAAGGTTGATAGGGTATGATTCTTGTTCCGGATATCTGAAGGTATACGAAAGCAATAATCTTAAGCCGTTTAAAGAGAAAAGTGTTCAGCATTAGTTTTGTATGACCCATTCATAAGGTTGATAGGGTACGATTCTTGTTCAGGATATCTGAAGGTATACGAAAGCAATAATCTTAAGCAACAATTTTAAGCCGTTTAGTTTCGCCGAACAACATGGGTCGAGACACGAATTATTATTGGTGTAGTACATAGGTTTAACCCCAGACACACGGGTTTTCCCTCCACTTCTAATTTCTAATTCGAACTGGAAGGGTGTACCCGTAGTTCCAAAGAGCTATCAGGTGCCTCGTAGTAATTAAATTACTTCTTATAACTTTTCTTAACAGTTTGCCTTGGTCCCAAACGGACTACAACGCCTAATGAAAATGGATCATAATCATTTTTGTCTTAAAATATAAATCAATATCTAGACAGCATACATACTTTCTAAACTGCATAGGAAGGGACTCGTGATCTTTTCCAACGCGACATATCAGAATCTTATCGTCAGGGTTATCTGTCGTACTTAAAAACAGTTGGCCCTCATTGTCACTTTCTGGAATAAAACAGATGTAAAAGGCTACTTGCAAATTGTTTAAATATTCAGTTAAATAGCCATCGCAAGAGTCATCTCAGGAACAATCATTAACAAATGACATTCAAATGAAACAAAGTAAGATAAAAATGCTAACTGGCAGTTGGACATTAAACCAACTGGTTAATCAGATAAGGACGTATTTTCATTCAATCAGAGTGAGTCTGTGGGACATAAAAGACCTTTTTAGGGACATAATAAATCTTTGGTGGTGACTATAAATTAGGAGGAGCATTTATGACTATTTACCCATTAATTGATTATACTGTGTCATAAGTAGTCCGGCAGTAGGTTCCGGACACAGTAGTATTGAAAATTATCCCTGAAAAGCCCCGAGTGATGTAAATACATGCTTCCTTACCTATAAAGAATATATGTTGTCCACTTTGCTGTGGCACAAAGTAGCCACTGATTCTTGAGCCGTAGTTGTCACCCCAGTTGACTGGCTCACTGAACATCGGAGTGTATGAATAATATGTGGGCATAGTTGGAAAACGAGGATCTTCCAACAGTTTCTGGCACAGGTAACCATCGATTCCGTCCCATCGTTCAAGAATAGCTCCTCTCTGCTTTTTGGGATCTGAAAATCAACACGAAAATATTGCACTTTAATAAGACGAAAACTTCTTTTATTTGATCGATTGGATTTTGATGTAGATATATTATCAAGGCCTAGTCAATGTTCGTGTAATAAGGACAATTAGTTTAATATTTGAAAGGCTGTGTCAATGTTGTTAATCTATTCTTAAGGATGCTGTGATAAATATAAAGAATAAATATTAAGAAAATCCCCTTCCTCGGGATCGACCAGGGTTTTTGGGTGTACAGCATATATACACACAAATTGAATCACCACTCTAACGTCAACTTCCACGATGATAAATTCTATGGGCATGCACGGCACATACGGCAAGAACATGCAACGCCCTGAAGTAATTTGAAACAACCCCGCAACAACCCAGTACACGCGCCAGAAGATAAAAAGAATGAAAAGACAAAAAAACGAAATTCTAACCCGAAGATGTAAAACATTCAATGTTCTTTCTCCTTGTTAAGTTTATTTGACCTGATCAGGGGTTTTACGGGATGCGGTTAGTTCACGAAAGCATGCATTGCATTGGTCCATGAGAACAAAGGGAATACATTGGATTGGCTGTGAGATCAAATGGCATACATTGGATTGGCCGTGAGATCAAATAGTATGCATTAGATTGGCCGTGAGATCAAATAGCGTGCATTAGATTGGACGTGAGATCCAATGGCATGCAGTAGATTGGCTGTGAGATCAAATGGCATGCATTAGATTGGCTGTAAGATCAAATGACATGCACTGAATTGGCCGTGAGATCAAACGTCATGAATTTGATTGGTTGTGAGATCATATGGCATGCATTGGATTGACTGTGAGATTAAATGGCATGCATTGGAATGGTCGTGAGGTCAAATGGCATGCATTGGATTGGCTGTGAGTGGCATCCATTGGTTTGGTCGTGAGATCAAATGGCATGCATTGGATTGGCTGTGACATCAAATGGCATGCATTGGTTTGGTCGTGAGAACAAATGGCATGTATCAGATCATAACGAGGGCTTGAGGATAATAAAAGAAACTTTTCAAAACGATAACCATATACAAACCAGAAGCTATCTTTTGCCTTGGTATTTTCTGCCTAGCGCTATGTTCCTCTCTATCCGTTGGTTTCCCTGTGGGTTTACAGAAGAAAAAGAAACTGTTAAGGAGCGTGTGCATTTTAATTGATCTACGTTGAATTTGTTTCGCTTGTTTCACGTGTTAAGCTGAAATTGTACCTACGGCCACAGGTGAGAGAATAAATCGCACCATGACTTCATGTATTTGGGTACCACAAAACTCGTGCAATCGAGCCTTTATTGGTAGTGCTGATTTTCCGTTTGAGTCAAACATTCACAGCTTTTTTCACTCACACTATCTGCTTGTATGCTTAACTTTACATTTCACTCATTGTAGAAGGAATGAAATTACTATAACTTTGAATGCTTACTTACTTATTAAAAGTATTGACATAGCATTTATCATCGGCTAATATGCTTGTCAAATAATTTTTGTAAGGCGTTTCTCGTTTTAATTTGCTACATAAACGCTATTTGGACAAAATGACAGATATGAGTTGATACTGCCTGTTTATAAGCCAGTTTACCCACCCACCAAGAGGAGGTAATTAAACAGTCGCGTTGGGGGGCCCAAAAACAACATTAACTTGACATTTCTTTCAATTGCCATGTGTTTAGATTACCATCTATTTGCCTTTAGATAGCCGCTTGTTCAAGACAAAACATTAAACCAGCCTAGCTTTCTTAAAAATAATAACTGTCACGATATTTTGACCGCGGCTTACCTTTATGGTTTTCCTCCGCTAGACTAATTTCATAAGAGCCACACCAAAAAAGGCCATAAAGCAACAACAGTACGCTTCTCATACTGCATGATCATATCATAAGAGTCACACTCGAAACAGTCGATGTTCAGCCATTATTGGATTCATTGCAAACCACTTGTGACGAATTTTCTCTAAATCAACTTTCCTCCTGCTGTAAGACACCTGTCATGAAGGTCTCGCCTGTCGGTGGTTTTATTGACTCGTGCCATGATGTAATGGACACGGTTTATTACCTGCAATGGCTTTCAAGTTCTTGTCTTTTTAGTGTCAACTGCTGCACTTTTTTAGGCTTAACCAGCAAATCACTAAAATCAAAGTAAAAGAAATGAAAGAATTTTCTGCAGTATAATTTATATTTGAATTAGATCTTCTTATTCAAAGAGGTATAGTTTTAAAAGATCTTGTCTTAGTGATCATTGTGAAAAGCTAAAACAAAGCCTTTGGTTTCAAGTTTAATTAGCAAAGTAAACAGATTAACTGAAATACTTTCCTATTCACGGTTTGGTGGTAAGTTGTCTCACTCAAATTTGCGCCTAATTAAAAAGTTATATTTCAAATTAAGCTGAGTAAATTCTGATACATTCCAGTCAATTGATAGGTAGCAGACAATAATCGATTGGCTTTGATACCGATGAAAACCTTGCGTTTAGAACTATTTCACAGTGGATGATACTTCATATCCTCTAACATAATGAGTCCTCCTCCACTGTTTATAGCCCCCTCCCCCCCCGTTCTCAGTTAAGTCCCTTTGCCCTCCCGTGCCATGCCCTCTCTTGAGCCACAATTTGCGGGCTGGATCTTCCGCTGTTGTCGAGAAAAAATATTCAGCGTTTAGTCTCGATTAATCAGTAACAGGCGTAATGATGAAAGTATGGTACAAATATGGTATTTCTCCGTTTCTAATTGGCTCAAATCCCACGGATAATTCGTCGTAACCAGCCACTGTTTACCAAGAAGTGTGCGATATAATGAATAATGACGTCAGTTCTAGAAACTTGACTGTTAATCTAGAGGACCTGGGGACCAGGTTGAGTTGTTTTGGTAATGAGTACAAAATGGCAGAACATTTTACTCGTTTCGCGAGGAAGAACTAAGCAATCTATTGGCTAAAAATGGGATCGCAAGAACAACAAGAATACAACTCGACGGACTAGTTCTGCTATTTGGAGAACACTAAACTGAGCAACCCTTTATCCCCTAAACTTGCCAATAAATAGGCAATTGAAGATGAACTTAACATCGGTGAGGCAAGCATGTTTAGTAGTTTGTTTTTAAACTAGGAATTATTTTGAAAAACAATAAAACAATTACATAAACCTTTATCGAGCTCGGTTGCCCACATAACTAGTATGATCCAACAATTATTGAATTCGGTTTTCGTAACATCTGAAGAATTATGTATACTGCTATTTCGAGAAGTGCAGGCGACAATCCCGAAAGGTATTGTGGGATGTCTTAAGTGCACTGTCAATGGACATATGTTTGCTAGTGCTGAAGGAAAGCAACAAAAGTAGGTTCTAAAGTGTCAAGAACAATTGATCATCCTTTCGGGATTGTCGCGTAAACATTTTTCCCGACAATCTTTCTCGAAATAGCTGTATTTCAGAGGGTGTTATGCGCCTCCGCCTAATCGACCTCAGCTGATAACACCTTCCTCGATCTCCATAATTCTTCAGGATGATACTCAGCCTCCTCAATAAAACTTTTACTGAAACCACTTGTCATACAGTCTATTGTTTCTCTTCCAAGACGGAAATTTCAGCAGAGGCTGAATTCAAAAGAGACACGGAATATAAAAATGCCACTAGCAGTGCGCGATATTTTTCCAAATTGTTCTCAAAAGTATGTTCGATTTTGGAAATGATGCTATACTTTTTCTTAAACTAGGCGATCATGTACATGGGACTTCACATGCATGCCCGGCCCGGGGGTTTATGTTTAGTGCCTTTGCTTTGCTTAATGTTTCGATTTTTTAGCAATGTGAGCGGGTTCTAACAATATATTAGGTGGAATCAGAAACCCATAAGGGGTTGAAACCTGTAACTCGCGTTCAATGCTTGAGAATATTCATTTTGACTATATTTGGAAATCTTAGTAACGGATAGCCATTTTCAACAAAATGGCTGCTGCGCGATCACCATACAGATGTTTTAAGACAAGAGTTCTGCATTTCAAGGTTAAAAATACACCGCTAAAAGACAAAAAATGGAAAGAGAAAGTTCAAAAGAATGCTCAGCTTTCTTTTTGTGGGGAAAGGGAAGCTTTTAATCAAAAAATCGTCCTTCGAGGAATTCAACCTTGTTTTTTTCACGGCGGAGCCAATGGTCTGTTTTGAAATGCAACCAAGGCAGCGAAGTTTTTGCTGACTTTTCAGGTACATTTTGCACTCTAAGGCCAAGACAATTACGTTTTTAAAAGGGAATTTATGTATTTTCAAATGTTTCATAGACGTTTTATAAATTTTTCTCTTCGGTGCGAAAGAAAAATTACAAAATGCGCCTTGATTTGAGATGGATTTTGTTTTGAATTTTGCCATGTGCTTAGCCAATGTCAGTTGCGTGAAAGGATCCGCGATCCAGATAGTGTTTTCCGAATTGCTTTAAAGGATTAACTTTTTAGACTTTGAATAAAAATTTTCAAGAAACGGCTTCTCTGACTATTGTTTTGAGTTTGTTCCGTCATAAAATTAGCTCAAAACACGATCATGACTACAACATCTAAGTTTAATTCAAGCTTTTAAAATGCTTCTCACATTCATTACGAGTATCACTTTTTGCGAAGATGTCAGATTCAGGTTTTGGACACTTTCGATACGCAGCTATGAATTTTATTCGAAAATATTTTTCACTGTTTATTCTAGACTTTTAACATAAGAATTTTAAAAGCCTATTTGCAGTATAAGTTTACTGTGCAGAGGGTCAACGAGGCATCGTTTTTTGAAGTGATCGACAACTTCAAGAAGTTGCGAGGCCGTCAATGGCCCGGGTGGTAAGGCAATAATATCCTGCTCGGTGTTTCGGTAATATTCCTGGTTTCAACCTTTGAAAGCTTTCTCGGCTTTCGGGAGTTTTTCCCCCGTTTGTCGGCCATTTTTTTAAGCGGGTGCGGGAACCTGAAGGAAAATTACGTCACGCTGTTTACGAAGTTTGATTGGTCAGTTATCTCTTCTTC